AATGAGCTTGGTCTTTGCAGGGTAGAGTAATGCTGGAAAAATTAGGTAGTCTTTTGAAAAGATTAATGATTTGATCTATCGTGAAGAAAAAATTATTTTCCAGATCAATAAGAAATAGGGAAATGGGAAACCTTGGTGGGTTTTTACCAGTGAAAGAATCTGATATGAATATGAACCAGGAATCTAGAGTAGGCTAGAGAGGCTCAAGCCACTGGCCTGCACCAACATCCTCCTAATCTTTGTTTTGACCTGCATTGTGTCCTGGTCTCTCTTCTTCCTTTGTATCTCCATAATTTACAGGCTGGTCTTTCATGGAAAAAATATGGAAATTGATCTAATATGATATTTTCTTATTTACATTTTTCTTCATCATCACTTATCACCTCTGAATTAAGTAGGCACCTCCATGAGAGCAGGGACCTGGTCTAGACTGTCACTTGCTATATCTCACTATTTAGATTGGTCCCTGATACCCTGCTAGAGTTTATAAACTATTTGCAAAAGATTCAATAAAGAAATTGCCATGACACCAAATAGGCAATCCTCTTACTTCTTTCTTATTACACAGGTGATAGCTCTAAAAAGCAGATATGTTACTCAGAAATAGCCCTGTGATTTAAGGCAATGCTTTCTTTCCTGTCGTTTTCTCCCATTCCCCTAACAAATCTTGTGATATGTGTGGAATATTCTAGGTACTCAAGGAAGGCTAAAGTAGGACACATCTAAATTGGAGCCAGAAATATTTTAGTTCAGCTCTTCATAGCTTTGATCTCTGGCTTTAGGAAAAATAAAGAATTCATTTCAATCTTGAATTAAAAAAGCATGAAATAACCAAGCTTTTTTTATGCCAGGTCCAGAGCACTTTTTGTCTCTCCTACATATACTGCAGATTTAATTCAGGAACCAAGCTGTTCTGCAGCCCCATTTGAAAGTATCACCAATAGTCAGAGCCATTTTAGTTAGCTTTGAAAATCCACCCTTCATTACGCTAGCTCCCTAATGTTAATGATGATGGCTGAGATGAAAAGATGCTGGTCCATGATCCCTGTTGACTATAATTAGAGGATGCTTTGGACACCTATTCTCAGAGAAGCAGAGCACTTTGTAGAGCAAAGAGTTGAAGGCAACATGGGCATTTTTTTTTTCTCTGAAAACTTGTTGGGGGCTGGAGAGGATGACAGAGAATCCTAGTTAATGGGGCAACAGAAGAGAGAAACATGCCAGGGATCCCTTGGCTCATCAGACAATTCAGAGAAACTAAATATTACAGAAGTGTTTTGGCTCAGGAGCTGGAGGAAAGCTGCCAAGTTGTGGAGACATTCTCCAGATATCCTCTGACTGCCGGGCAGCCATTGAGGCCACAGCTGACCTTTCCCGGGCACAATTCCTATCATCACCCAATTGAAAGGGGGAAGAACAACACACTTGGCTAGCAAACACAGAGGCCCTTTATTCTATAAATGAAGAATAAATACAGATAAAAGATAAAAGAAGATGAGCACTACTTTCACAGAGGCCATGTGCTTGCTAGCAATTTGGCCTAAAGCAATTTATTGTTAATTATTCATGGAGATAGAGAAGAGACCAACCAAAAATTCAGAACTTTGCTGAACATGTTCAAAATATAAAGCTAAAGAAAAGAATCATGTTGATTACTGCTTGGCCTCTTCCTGTTTACATCTGTACATATAGCATTATAAAACACAAAGATACAGGGATAGAGCAGTGTTATAAACATTTGGAGGATATTCCACGGCAGTAGAAATCAATATAGAACATTCATCAGAAAGAAAAAAAAATAGACAGGAGAGGAAAACTTATTTGCTAATACAGAATGTGCTTGATTATTACTTTCATTTGTGATATTTCATAGCTTGGTTCAGAAACCTTAGTGCAAGTGAATATATTTCTTTTTTTACTTCCTCAGGAGTGTGTCACTGTAAATGCACAGCCACAGTCTTGATGTCTCATCTCCTGGGTGAACAAATCCATGCTGTTCTTTGTAATAATGTGCATAGACAATATTGGTTAGACAGAAGCCACACACACCAGCTACCAAAAAGTCTTCATTTCTATATGGTTAAGGGTGGAGAGTTTTGTATAAAGAGTTGCTGCTCCATCACATCCCAATGTTTCTATTGCTAAAAATATTTCTCTTTCATTTTGTTGTTTGGGATTCTCTCTCTCTCTCTCCATATATATATATATATGTGTGTGTGTGTGTGTGTGTGTGTGTGTGTATAAAATTTCTTTTTACAGATTTAGGATGCTGTTTGTATCTGATTTAAGAACTCTTTGTATCCAAGAAAGAAAGAAAGAAAGAAAGAAAGAAAACTCTGTGCATCCCTAAATACATAAATACATAGCAGGAATTTTTTTTCAAAAATTTATTAAAAACTTCAAGATACATAGTAATTTCCATAAATATCATGAAACTGGAGTTGGTAACCATGGAGTATGGGCATCCATGTCTATGCAGCATCTACAGCTAAGGAAGAAAGGATCTTAGTCCTTTCTTGCTTGCTTTGGCTCTCACCCAACTCCTACTCATCACCTCTTCATAAAGTCACCTGAGTGAACTTTCTTTGATCACTTCCACTTTTCAGATGCTGCCCAAACTTTCAGAATAAAGAACACATTCCTTAGTATAATTTCAAGACCCTTCATAATCCAACTCAGGCCCATTTTTCTACTACATTTTATGTGAGGACCTGAGGTAGTCTGTGATTCCTCCATCCATTCCAGCATCCAACCACATCCATCCACTTAAAAATCTGCCATATGGGGGCGCCTGGGTGACTCAGTTGGTTAGGCAACTGCCTTCAGCTCAGGTCATGATCCTGGAATCCTAGGATAGAGTCCCGCATCGGGTTCCCTGCTCAGCGGGGAGTCTGCTTCTCCCTCTGACCCTCTCCCCTCTCATGCTCTCTCTCACTCACTCTCCTCAAGTAAATAAATAAAATTAAAAAAAAAATCTGCCATATGCAGGCCAAGATCTAGGTGCTAGGGGTACAATGGAGGGGTTGCATAAGAGATATGTTTCCAGACAGAGACAACTAAAGAAGTGCTACAATGGTAGGGGTCATGTAGGATGCTGTAGAAGGAATAGAAAGGGCTTCTAACTCAAACTTAGCTGGGGTAGAATAGTCACTTGTAGCCTCCAAGGAAAATTAATATCTCAGCAGAGACCTAAAGGATAGAAAGGAGCCAATCGGGCCAATGGTGTAGTGACTGGAAATCTGGGGGAGAAAAGAATTCTCCCAATGCATTGTAAATGGGAACACTTTTTTTTTTTTTGTTTTTGTCTTTTTTTTTAAATTTTTTTATAAACATATAATGTACTTTTTATTTCCAGGGGTACAGGTCTGTGAATTGCCAGGTTTACACACTTCACAGCACTCACCACAGCACATAAAGAACTATAAGAATTTCAGAACCATAATGCAGGATTATTTTGAAGAATGAATTATTTACTGTTACCCCAGTGTATCCTTCACTCTTCTGTTCCTGCCCAGTAGGTTAGGAGTACAAGACATTCTTCTCATTGTTTGCTGGATGAACTTCAAAGTCATCATTTTACCTTCTCTCAGGAATATCCTCCAACCACACCCTCACCACTGGAAAGACACTTCCACAGTCTTTCCTTTGTGCCCTGTGGTATCTATTCCATACTGCACTTACACAGTATCTCATTTGATCTAGTCATTAGCTATTTTTGACACCTTCTCTCAGCCCTGTATGCTTTGAAGTTAAGAGTTTTGTCCTTATCTTGTTTTTTCAACTTTTGTAACAGAGCAAGACACACAGCGGATACTCAAAATTTTGAGTAAAAAGGAGTGGAGATAGTTAAAATGTTGTCTTTTATTTCTGCAACCCATCTGCAAGTGCATTGGTATGTGTTATAAGATAAGCAATCTTCTCAGGACACGTTCTGCAGAATGAAATGAATTCTAAGTCACATGGGTGACTCATGGGATCTTTATCTACCCCCGATAACACAGAAAGGCAACAGTGACAGAACCACAACCTGGCTTGTTTAAAAAGGTCTCCACAGACCATGCAGTCTTCTGGGGAGAATAATTAATTATATTGGAGTGGAGACAGAATGGAAAGAAATGCAAATATTTGATCCCCTTTTGAGTAAGAGGATACAGGCTTTTTTAATGTGCAAAGCCAGCATGTTTTAGGGAATCTTTGGAGACCTGGCCCATCAGAAAAAAAAAAAAAACACAAAGAACAGCAGCAGAGGAGCTCCTTTTCTTTACAATATCTTCTTTTAGAAAAAAGTTTTCTTTTCAAATTAAAGGAAAACGTAAATTATAATCAGCAACTTTTGTTAGATCAGAAGCATGCCAATAAAAGCCCTCTCCTCCTTCTTCCTCTTAAAGAATCATGAAGCAGCAAGGAAGGCAAGGAAAAGAAAGAGGGCAGTGATTTAGGAAGGCACAAGAAAGAGAAAGAGAAAGTGAAAGTGAGAGAAAAAGAAAGAGAAAGAAAAAGAGAAAGAGAGCAAGAAGAAGAGACCCATGAAGACAAGGTGGTGTTAGTGCCCAAGAGAAGTGGTATGTTTTGCCATCATAGGCACTGGAAGAAACCCCACAAGGTAAAGAGGGAAAGGATCCCTGTAGTTATCCTGCTATAGAATGGATAAATTGCAAAGTGAAAATATTCTCTCAGAAAATGCAGTTCACTTAAGTACACTTGGATTGTGTTATTATTTTACTTATTAATGGTAATGTTCTTCTCTCGGAAAGCTCTGGTGCCATAATGAAAAAAATACTCTAATTATTATAAAAATACATGATCTCTTCAAAAGAGGAATATCAACAAAAGAACAGACCAGATATATGGCTTAATTTGCATTTCATGGCTACATGTTTGAAATTATACTGCATAAATTATGTAAAAAACACCAAACCCTCAAAGAGACACATGATTTAGCCATCCTGCCTGGCACAAACCACTCTCTTAGCGTGTTTTACAACTGAAAAAACCCATACCTTCTACAGTTGCTCGCTTGGGCTGAATGGTAATGGCTCCTTCTGCAATATCTTCATGCTGGTGCAGTGGGTTGATTTTGGATCCCCAGCTGTCTGATCCTACCCAAAGAAAATGGCCCACTTGGTCAGCTCTCTTGGCTGCTGCAAGGATCTGCCTGTGAAAAAGAACATGACACATTATATTAATAATAAGGAGCAGCTGCTGAACATATATGTATTAGTAATGAAGCAGAAGAAAAGCAAGCTACCAGTTCTCAAAAAGTAAGTAATCAATGGCAAAAAAAAAAAAAAAAAAAAAGTATGCCTCAGGATTTATATCTTGCTTATATAAAGGGATCTTATAAACCACTAAGAAAAATAATCAATGCAGCTTCAGGAAAATACACAAGAAACATTGAAAGTCAAAAGGAAAAAGGAGAAATATAAATAACCAGTAAGCTGGAGATAAATATTCATACAGATTAGAAAGGAGGAAAATATAAATTAAGGAAAGATTATCACATTTGGTTCTCATGTTGGCCAAAAGATTTGTTTTGTTTTGGTTTGGTTTGTGAGTTTGGGCATGGGGCTGGAGAAATGAGTGCTTGCATTCATTGCTGGTGGTGTGTATAATTTCTGGAAAGCAACATGACAATCTAAATTAAGGGTCTTAAATTATTAAAATAAACATGTATGTTATACTTGAAAATTTTACAGCCCATATTTATAAATAGAAATAGTACACAAATAAAAAGGGCAACAAGGCAAATAAAACAAAAGGAAACTAATCATTCATAGTAAAGTTATTAAAAAAATTTTTTGAAAGAAGAAGTAGATAAGAGGTAATTATAGATCAGAAGAAGCTACAACTAAAGCTCCTTTGGTGGGCTGTACCACAGGAATCTTGTTTCTCAAGACTTGGAGATACTAAGTACCACAAAGGTACGTGGCCAAATAAAGGAGAATCGGTTGAAAGGTTGTATATAAAATAGCAAAACCTTAGGTTTCTTTCTTTTTCTTCCAGGCAGAAAATGGAATGGTAATTTAGTAATAAAATTTTAAGGAATAGGTTCTGATATTGTAAACATCAAAATACCAGAAGGTTGTGAGTTAGAGATGGAGAGTTGAAGGTGAAGGGAAGGAAGGTAAGTTAAATTTACCACTAAGTATTGAAATGGTAAGATCCTCTATGAAATCTACACTTCTGCTGACAGAATGTTAGAAACTAAGGGAGTGTCACCAGAGGTAGAAAATAACTTTTCTGGAAAAATCTGGACCACCCTAGAAAAAGAATTCTAAATACTGACATAGAGAGACCCTCTAATGGATGGCAACTTGGATGTCTGACCAGTCCACCAAAGGTCTGAAGTCTGAAGGGACAGGACTCCGCTGTTTGCATCAAAGTATTTCCAGTCATATTTTAATTTTTTAATATGTGCATGCATAATTTTAATAAAAATAAATGTAATCAATTATTTGTACCCTTGACCTAGAGATATGATTTCTACTAATCTGTCCAAAGGAAATGATCAAATACTCTCTCAAAAACATACGTTCATTACTGCAGACAGCCTCAGTGCAGAGCAGCAGGAAACTGTCTGAATAAATGACAGGGAGGATAGACTGGTAAACAATTAGAATATACTGAGTAAGATTTCCATAAGCACTTGTTAAAAAGAAAAATCAGGGACGCCTGGGTGGCTCAGTTGGTTAAGCAGCTGCCTTTGGCTCAGGTCATGATCCCAGCGTCCTGGGATCGAGTCCCACATCGGGCTCCTTGCTCAGCAGGGAGCCTGCTTCTCCCTCTGCCTCTGCCTGCCATTCTGTCTGCCTGTGCTTGCTCTCTCTCCGTGTCTCTCTCTCTCTCTGACAAATAAATAAATAAAATCTTTAAAAAAAAAAAAAAAAGAAAAATCAATTTAAAAAACTGCAAGAGATTATACAACTCATATATAAGAAAAAAGCTGCCTAGATGTTGCTTGTACGTGTGTATATACACACAGGAGTATAGAGCCATCTGAGAGCACAGAAAAATAACGATAATACACAATGTATTGTTAACCTAATATTCTACCTGGAAGACACTGCTGAGATTGAAGAAGTTGCAAAGGTGGCCAGAAGCCAAGTAAAACATGAAAAAAGACAAAACTACATAAATGCAAAAAGTGGATGTTCACTTTAATATAAATGGAAAAGTGTGGGTTTATTGACAATGATAAACAAGATTAAACCATTTAAAAATACTTATGGCATCAAAAGTGACATGTGAATTACAAAAAGTTGGAGATAAAAAGCAGGAGATTGTTTTGGGGGAAAATCTATGTATGTTTAGAAAGAAGTGTTGGCAAACATTAACCCAGAATTTTATGTTATCTCTGAGTATTGGGATTGCAAATTTTATAGGAAATTATTTAACCTTTATTCTTTCTAGATAATCATGAGACAAAGTAAACTTAATAGCTCCTTTCAATAAAGAGCAACAAAAAAAAAAAACTTTTCCTTTTTCCAGTAGATATACAGTAGCTAGGTATTATTTTTATAATCAGAATAAAGTATTCCAGAAAAAGGATTCACCCTTGTCTTAAATCCAAATTATCGGTACCCATGACTTACTTTGCATTTATTTTAGCTTTAAAATATAGACATTACTGTCTTCACTGCCATTCTCTTACAAAATATTTGAAGTTAATGTTCTAAAAAATCTCAAATTTCCCATTTACAGTGTAAATCTTCTGAAAAAAATAAATAATATAACACTGTGAGTTAACAGTACTCTTCAGACATCCATGTATTTAAGATCATGTTTTGGAAGGAAATTATATATGTACTTAAATGTTATCACTGTGCTCAAGAACTATTTCTGCTATCACTGCTATGAATCACAGTATGCAATAATATTCAGCACACAAACCCCAAAACAAAAGAATGAGCATACTTATTGAGCAGATTGCATGCATTTTTACATCCTAAATTAAAACTTCACATTACCTACAAGTCAGGAGTATTAAAAAAAATTAGTCATCAGAGCTATCTGTGGTAATTTTTTATGTGACAGGTACAATGTATGTGAAGATAAACACAAAGCCGCACTTATCAATGTATTACCTATAGGAAAATATATAAAATATTTATGAAAAGCATTTATGAGATAAGAAAGATATCAACAGAGATGAATAAGATACAAGCCAAAAAAAAAAAAAAAAAAAACCACCAAAACAGCAACAACAACAACAAAACAATGACCCAAGAGTAATATTATGAAAACAAAATCTTTTAAACAACTATAACTCAAAGTGTAGATGAAAAATGCCCTAAGAGCAACACTGGAGAATTTTTAAGGAGAGAAGTAATACATTTAAGGGGTTACCAGAAACAGTTTCATGGAGAAGGGCATGTTCAAGTTAGACTTTGAAAAACAGACAATTTCAACAAGTAGCGAAGGAGAGAAAAAACACCGTGAATAAAGGCCATGAGGCAGAGCAATCAGGACTGTGCGGGACCAGGGCTATGTATTCTGGGTGTGGTAGTGGGTGAGTGGAAGTGGGGTCTAAATGTTAAATTAGGAACACATTGTAAAGCATTGTGAAGTCCAGACAGAGAAGTTTGTATTTAAATTATTAAATGGAGTTCATTAGCATAGTGACTTTACTCATTCATTTATTCAGTACTGTTCCTTGAGCATTTACTCTGTACCGAACACCATGATAGGAACTGAGGATACAGAAGGAAGTTAAATGAGGCATCAGCTCTGCCCCAGAGATGCTTAGGGACTTGCAGAGAAGGTGGATACTAAGCAAAGGATCAAGTGATGTAAAATAACATCAGTGACATTCACTATGAAGAATGTGCCAAACCTGCATTGTGTAGAGACGTCTTCCTTCAGAAAGCCACACTAGAGATGGCACCATGATGAGAAAGTAAGGCAGGAAAAGCCTTCCAGGTATGTGCAAGGGAGCACACAAAGACCAGGAACGAGGAAACACAAAACGTGAAGGAGCAGGGAATGAAATAGGTTAAGAACGGTAGGACGAGGCTGGATAACTACAAAAAGAGCTCAGAAGCATTTTCATTTGGAAGAACTGAGGCTCAGAAGCTAGGAAGCAGAAGAGGGCAACAGTGGGGCAACTTCCCAAAGTGACACAGTGGTCATTAGTAAAACACCACACACGTATCTCAATGTCAGGTTTCATTAGCTTTCAGTTGAATAGTCCTGCTACCTGTGATCCGAGCTGAATACTGGGAAAACGATGGATGGATTCAGGGGCAGCATTTAGGGTGCATGTGGAGAAGAGAGACACAGAACTGGGAGGCTCGTGGATGAGGACAATGCAGTAATCCAAGCAGGATGCAATAATGGCCTGGGCTCTTAAACTTTCTCTTAATAAATGATACCCACCTTCAAATTAAGTATTATATTTTATCTAAGACAAATACTAAATAACTCCATACAGTTTGCTCACATCAGTGGAGAGATGTAAACTAGCACAAACTCTTTGGAAAACTATAATCATATCGGGACACACCTTGTCCTGGAAAAGTCTTTTCTGGGATTTATGTTAAAAACACATAAGTAAATATATAAAATTATGTAATTCCATATTAACATATAATTGTGTTATATTAATATTATATATCCAACTCTTGCATAGAATGTTTATATTAATATGATGTATTTGTATATTTATATTTGGGTGCACAGATTTTTGTAAAAGGAAGTTTACCACAGTGTTATTTATGATTGCAAAAGTCTGTAATCAAATGTCAATCAATAAGGGAGCATTTAGATAAATGACAACATGCATGTAAAATGAAATTCTGCCTAGCAATGAAAAGACTGAAGAGATAGGTACTGACATTCATAGACATCCGTGATAAAATAGTAAGTAAAGGCTAGCAGGGAAGAGAATAAGATGTACACACAGTATGCATCATTGTGCAAAGAGATGCAGACTGTCTCTAGAAGAATATTCAAGAACCTTGTCATTAGCCAGTGCATCTAAAGAGAACTTGTTAGCTAAGGGCAGGATGAATGGAACTGTTTTTTATAACCTAGATTTTTAAAATAGTTTTTTAAGCAAGTGTAATTACTGTTTATTTTAAATAAATAAATATTCTGGAACAAGGTGGTAGTGGGCAGAGAAGAAATCAGGCACATTTGTTTCTGTCTTAGAAACACATTCTGGGCATGTTATCTTCTAAAAACAAAGGTTAACTCTACCTGGCTTGGCCAGGAATGCAAAGAATGAGGAAAAATGGGGAGTCGAGATTCCAGTCGAATTTTTTACTCCAGGGAGGATCGAGGTAAGAAAAGAGAGGAATAAATGAATTAGAGACATACTGGTAGACAAGGTTGGTTTGGAACATACTGGGTCTAAAGTGGTAGCAATACAGCCAGGATTATATGACTTTTTTTTTTTTTCTTTCCTTTTACATTAAGAGGAACCATTCTTTGGATAAAAATCTGTTACATTTGGATATATTTTTAATGAAAGAATCTTTAAAAGGTCTAGTGGTTTTCTCTTTTTACAAGTAATTGAATATATTTATTTTGCTAATAGAGGGGGAAGACATGACAGCAACACAGTGCTGCTCCCATGGTTTGCTATAACTACTCATGTAAAGGAGAAAGCACGAACAGACTTTGCCACTGTGTAATTATAGATTTGCTTCTGTGCTATCTTTTCCCCTTTCTCTGCCAGTATCCTGATCTTTCTGTCTCCTAAAGTTGCAGCATGCATATTAATTAATTTCACCAGTCATCCTTACTTTATATCCTCATCGTTGGCAAAAATCACGACGGCCCTGGAGTTGGGGGTGTCCAGGAGCTGTTTGATAATTCTATCAAAGTCAATAGTTCTGTCTTTGCGTTCTTGGGGGATTCTCACGGACTGTGCAATGCAGAGCCCACCTGTTTAAGAAAAGAAAGCAGAATGTCAATAAAGTTCCCTCAGACATACCAAAGGAACCAGGGTGAGTAGCTGGGGAGGAGAGAATTTTGAATTCTGAGTGCACAGCACTCCCTTGGTGATGCTAAGTGAGGAAGGCTTAAGATGTCATGCTAAGTCCTGAGCTGTTATTCATACTTGGTGCACCTTCCATGACATTGCACAGCCTGATTTTCTTAGCACTGCACTTGTAAATGACTAAGGATGCCCAGGAACACCAGTGATAACAATTGTGAGGAGGTAGATTTAGGCTGACAAACTGGGTGGGGGAAGGTCTTTAAAATGAATGCAATATACCACAAGAAAATTGTAATCAATACACTACAGTAAAAATGTACTGAAAGACATAAAACTCAGGTGAATTTCCGTGGCTTTTCTGGTGTTTGCATTCCCAGGACTTTTTTCACCTTCATAGTCATCCCAACTTTTAAAGGTCAGATCCAATGGAATAAATCTAAAAATAAAACAACAACAAGAACACCAACGACTGTAAATCAGAGCAACAAACTATGAGTGACCACATACAACGTGCCCAACCTTCAAATATGTGTTTTATGTATATTATCCCATATTAAAAATTTTAAAAGTTATTTAGTAACATGTATTTTTGGTTAGAACATAAGGGGATTAAATAGAAAAATAGATTTGTTGACTCAAGACTTCTCAGATCTGTGATGATATTAATTATCATTACAAATTTCAAGACAGGGTAACATGTAGCAGTTTACTAAGCAATTGATACAGTCTTCACTACCCCACCTCTTGCTTACTAGCAGCCCCTGGATCTAGTATTTTATAAAATACACTTTAAAAAAAGGCTGGTATAGGTGAAAGGGGTAGAGGGAATACTTGTAGAAAGGTAACAACATCCATCCAATGGACAGAAGACCTAGAGGCCAAGACAAATGGATAAACTTGTTCTTGTAATGTACTGGGGAGGTAGTTATTATCAAGCTTACACCTCGAGCATGGACAGCTGGGTGAATGGTACTAGGCTTCCACAAACAGAAAACTATGAACTCTAATCCAAACTTTAGCTCCATTACACTTTTAGCTCAATTAGTGTTAGTTCTCTGTAAGTGGCTCTTAATTTTCAGTATGCATAAAATCTCTAATGGTCATTTTTCAAAATGTAGAGTTCCAATAACATTATCAACCAACTTGACCTAATTAACATTTATAGAACAATCCATAAGACAACAGAACAGTATACATTCTTTTCAAGTGTAAATGGGACATTCATTAACCATACTCCGGGCCATTAAAAAAACAATAATAACAAATTTAAAAGCATAGAAATTGTACAAAGTATGTCACCATGCCTAACAGAATCAAACTAGAAATTAATAACACTTGGAAATTTGAAAACACACTTCTAAATAACTTGTGGGTCAAAGAGGTATTGTCAAGGGAAATCTAAAATATTTAAAACTAAATGAAAATGAAAGTGGAACATACAAAATGTATAGATTACAACTAAAGTGGTATTTAGCAGGAAATACATAATCATCAAATGCTTATGTTAGAAAAGAGACAGCCAAAATAGAAACCTAAGCATCTATTTAAGAAATAAGAGGGAAAGAGAGCTAAATAACCACCCTCCCAAAAATGCAGAGAGGCATGATAAAAGAGCAAAAAACAATGAAAACAAAATCAGAAAATATAAGAGAGAAAAATCAGTAAAATTAAAAGCTGCTTCTTTGAAAAGATTAATAAAATAGATAAATCTCTAGTCAAAGCTGACAAAAAGGAAAGAAGTCACAAATTATCATGTCAGGAATAAGAGGGGCTAACCTTACTGATAGATCCCACAGACAGCAAAAGGTTGTAAGGGAATATTATAAATTATTTGATACCAATATATTTAGCAACTTAAATGAAATGGATGAATCTCTTGAAAGACACAAACCATACAAACTGAGGGCAGAGTGGATAATATTAATAGTTCTACATATATTAAAGATAACCAATTCATAGACACAGATGCACACTTTAAAAAAAAAAAAAAAAGACCCAGGCTCACATGGTTTCATTGATAAATTCCACCAAACAGTTAAGGAAGAAATAAAACATGATTTAGATATAACTTCTAACTGAAAATAGGAAAGGAGAGAAAATAACTCATTTCATAAGATAGCTATTACCCTAATACACAAATCAGATGAAGATATTATTAAAAAAGACCAATATCATTTATGAACATACTTACAAAACTCATACAAAACCAAGTGGATTTTACCCAAGGAATGCAAAGTTGATTCATTATTTGAAATTCATTATTTCATTATTCATTATTTGAAAATCAAGCATTATAATTTACATATGCTTAAATTAATAAGAAAAACCATATGATCATCTTAATACATATGGAAAAAGCACTAAACAAAATTCAATATACATTCATGATAAAAACTAAAACCGAGGATTAGATGAGACCTTTCTAAGCCTAATAATAGGCATCTACAAAAAGCCTAAAATAAGCATCACATTTAATAGTAAGAGATGACAAGACAATTTTGTCCTATCTTAAAACTCTTATACGACATTGTACTGGATGTCCTTGTCAGAGGAATAAGGAACAAAAAAGAAAAGAAAAGAAACAAAAGACAAACAGCTGCAAAAGGAAAAAAAAAATTCTCTCTATTTGCAGATGACATGATTGTCTATGTAGAATCTTCTAGAACTAAAAGGTGAGTTAAGCAAAGTTGTGCGATATAAACTCAAAATACAAAGGTCAATGATGTATCTACAGATCAGCAATGAACAACTAGGATTTTAAAGGAAAAAAATATCATTAACAATATTACCTAAAATGTGGTGTTTATGTATAAATCTAACAAAATATGTATAGGAGCTATATTCTAAAAACTATAAAACATGGCTGAAAGAAATTTTTAAAAATCATTTAAATAAACTCTCCCCAATTTCATCTATAAATTCAATGCAATGTCAGTCAAAATCTCAGCAAGCTTTTAAAAATATGTATCAATAGCTAATTCTAACATTTATACCAAAAATGAAAGGAACCAGAGTAGTCAAAACAATTGAAAAAGAGCAACAAAATCGGTGAACTTGAACTACGTAAATTCAAGACTTACTATCAACCCCAAGCTGCAGCTGTAATAATCAAGACAGTGTGGGACTGTAAAAAGGACAGACACTTAGGATCAATGGAACAGAAAAGAGGTCCAGAAATAGACCAACACAAACATAGTCAACTGATTGTTGGCAAAGGTGCAAAGGCAATCAGTGGAGAAAGGATATTCTTTTCAAAAACTGATGCTGAAAAAAGTGATATTCATATATAGAAATAATCTGGACAAATACTTCATGCTGCATGTAAAAATTAACTTCAAATGGATTGATAGACCTAAGTCTAAATATGAAACTATTAAACATTTAGAAGGAGACAAAGGGAAATCTGCAGTGGTCTTAGCTTTTGTAAAGAGTTTCTGGATATGAGATCAAAAGCACAAACCATAAAGAAAAAAAAGATAAACTTTATGCAAATTTAAAACTTTTGTTCTATGAAAAATAGTATTAAGAAAATGAAAGCACAAGCCAAAGACCGGGAGATAATCATACACCTAATCAAAGACTGGTATCTACAATATATAAAGAACTGAAACTCAGCAATAGAAAAAAAGAGGAAGTAGGCAAAACATCTAAATAGACACACGCACAAAAATAGATGGCAATTAAGCACAGGAAAAGAAGCTCAACACCAGTCATTAGGGAATTGTTAATTAAAACCACAAAGATATACTACTACAATACCTACTAAAACAGCTTTAAAAAACAGCAATATCAAATTCTGGAGAAGATGCAGAGCAATAGGAATGTTTGTTCATTGCTGGAAGGGATGTACAACGGTACAGTCACAGTGGAAATCAGTTTGGCAACCCCAAAATGTTAAATATAGAGATAACATAACAAGCAGCAGTCAGTTCCAATCCTAGGTACTTATCCAGATGAATTGAAAGCTTGTGCTCACACAAATGTGCACACAAATGTTTATAGGAACTTTATTCATAATCACTAAAACTGGAAACAACTAAGACATCTGTCAACAGATAAAGAGATAAACTAGTACATGTTTACAACTGAATCCTACTCAGCAACAAAAAGGAACTACTGATTTGTGGATGAGCATCGATACATTTTAAAAGCATTTTGCTAAGTGAAAGAAGCCCCACTGGAAAGGCTACATATTGTGTAATTCTGCTCATATGAACTTCTAGAGAAAGCAGAACTATAGGGGTGGAAAATAGATCCGTGGAAGCCAAGGGGTGAGGGGAGGGGTTGAGTACAAAGGGACCCCACAAGAAAATTTGGGGGTAATGGAGAAGTTCCATATGGTACTATGGTAGTAGATGCATGACTCCACAAAACCTTAAAAACAACACACCATGATAACCAGACTTATGCAAGATTTAAAAAATTATCCAGGATGTCAGGGGATCCTAGAGTGGAATGTGGACTGTGACAACTGAATTTAAGTGTATTACTAACATATGAGGAAATTTTACTGATGGAGATGAGTAGAAAATAAGTTGATCTAAGTAACTTAAAAATTGTGTTTTGACTGGAAACTCTAAAGCTAGAGAGTAAAAGAACTGAACGTAAAATGGTACTTTGATTTGTATATTGTTTGCAGGGATATGAGTTAGCAATTCTGGAACTGCTTTCCATGCTCGAGTTGAACAAAACAGTAAATAAATTGTAGATAACATGAGCCAGGATTCTCACTGTAAAGAATTTATGCACAAGCAGAAAAGTAAGGCTAGCATGCACCATGTGGTGCCAGAAAGGGTCTGAACTATCCGTGGAAACTCACGTTTTAGATGGATGCTTGTATCCATGAGTTACTACACAATGTCCACTGAGAGAGCTTAGAAGCAATGACATTCCAGAGCAACCAGCCCTCCTAGGACCCCAGTGTTGGTTTCGAAATCCCACCTTT